TTACGAGAAAAACGTCTGGGAGAAGGTTCAAGAGCCTAACTAAAGTTTGGTCAAGCAAAGAATCTTTGTTACTGGGCGGCACCTGTGGCTCAAGGAGTAGGGCACTGGCCCCATAAACCAGAGGTGGTGGGTTCAAACCCGGCCCCGGCCAAAAACTGCAACAACAACAACAATAAAAAAGGAATCTTTGTTACTGTTTGTTACTGTTCTGTGATTGCTCTCAGCACATGGCTCTGGCTTAGGCAGAGCGGTCAGGAGCTAAATTCTGTAGGAGTCACAAATGGACAACAGTAATTGGTAGCTGAGGTTTTAAGTCAAAATAAAGCTGGAGGGACCTTCTTTAAATACAACAGGCTTCTGTACACGTAGCTATAGGCCCCAAGGCTTTCCCATAGCTCACCCTTTTCCTGAAAGGCAGTTTTCTCTACCACCACCTCATGTATTATTCATACCTTACCTCCTCCGAAAAGCATTCCAGGCAGCCTATGGGAAAAGAGGTTCACATACTGCAGAGCCGGAATGATGGATGAAAAGACAAGTCAGCCACAGGCAGAGTTCCCAGTCTCTGCTATTTCTTAACTGACAAATGGCCATGAGAATCCTCTTGCTCCAGAGATGCTTTAATCATAACACTTTCCCCATCACCACTGTTAAACTAAAATGATGGGAGGGAGGCCATTGTTTTGGACTAGGCTCCTGCATAGGCCCCAACAGAGTAGCCCAAACCAGAATGGAGTCACTCAAGCTAAATGCTGCATATAGTTAAAGTCCCCAACTATTATGGTGTTATGGTATATCATATTGTTCAGATCAAGGTCTGTTTCATAAATCTGGGAACATTTAAGTTGGGTGCATAAATATTTAAAACTGAAATGTCTTCTTGTTTTATTATTCCTTTAACCAGTATAAAGTGTCCATCTTTGACTTTTTTAACTTTAGTTGCTTTAAGTCTGCTTGAATTTAAAAATAATATTGCAACCTCTCCTTTCTTCTAATTTCCATTTGCCTGTAATATTGTTTTCCATCCCTTGACCTTGAGTCTTGATTTATCCTTCAAGGCCAGGTGTGTCTTCTGGAGACAGCATATGGATGACTTGTGCCAATCTGTGCCTCTTCAGTGGTGAATTCAGTCCACTGACATTTATTGAGATAATTGATACATGTGATGGAGTTCTATTCTTCTTATTTTATGAAAGTCTGTTGTGTAGTTTTATCCTTTGCACCACTGTGGAAACTAAGTTTTGACCTTTAGCGTCTGGGCATTTACTTTGCTAGTAGTCCATTGTGATGATCAGTGTCGAAAATAAGTCTCAGTATTTCCTGTAGAACTGGTCTTGTTTTGGTGAATTTCCTAAGTGTTGCCATTAGGGTCTTACAGAAAAGCGATGTCACAGAGAATAAGCACGTTTATTGAAATTGTGTTTTAAATAAAGGTGACCATTTGCTCATTCAGGCAAAATGGCGAACTTCTTTATTTACAGTTGGTTTATATAGGGAATTTTGTACATGCACACTATACAGCAATGACCTCATTGATCCATTTAAACATCATGTGACTACCTCGTGATTAGCTTCTAGTAATCTGATAATCCACTCAACATACACCTTTTAACATAACCCTTTCAACATAACCCAATTTAACATAACTTAATGGAGAACGTGTTGTCAACCATTACTTCTTTGTTCTTATCTGATGAAGCCTGAGGCTATGCAGGAACAAGGTAGATGGAATACCCACCCTTGCTGGCCTTGCCGTTTGGAGGCTGTTACTTTGGATCTTTAAATAAGGCATAAAGAAATCTCTTGGGCATACAGAAATTTGAGTGCAAACCTCTACTCCCATGTGGGCCTTCAGGGGGTTTTTGCTGGAACCTTTTATAAGGAATTTTCAGACTGGACTTCTCAAAAGCCTTTCACGAGCCTAGGTTTCATCTGTGCCATTAGATACCTGTATGCACTGGTAAATTCCTCTTCTCTTGAGGTCCCCGAGCACATTTCCATTCTGAGGCCCATCAGCAAGCTACCTTCCTTACTTACCACAGATCAGGAAAGGTTACTGATGGGTTTCTGGCCAATTTTCCAAAGGGCTTTTTTATTTGTCTTATGAAATCAACCTTAATTCCTTAACACAGTCTGGACATCTCTGGAAATGCTATTCCAGCCAAAGCCTTGGTCATGTTAGGCCCGCCACTAACCTGGCCACATGGGATTCTGCCTCAGTATCTCACAAGTATGCCTGCACAAAGTCTTTTCACTGCTCTCTCTTAAATGGCTTTTTTTGGCCAGCTTGTATATCCATAAAAGATTTGATTTCTACATCAATTTTGAAGTTTAGTTTATCAGGATACAGAATTCTGGGCTGAAAATTGTTTTATTTAAGAATGTTGAAAATGGATGACCATGCTTTTCTGGCTTGGAAGGTTTCAGTTGAAAAGTCTGCTGTCATCCTAGTGGCTCTGCCTCTGTAGATCAGTTGGCACTTACTCTTGGCTGCTTGCAGAATTTTTTCTTTCATTCTGACCTTGGACATGTTCATCACAATATGTTTTGGAGAGGCTCTGTTTGAGTTGGGATGAGCCAGTATTTGGTACTCATTTGAAAGGAGTGTGTCAGGGCCTTTAGTAAAACTGGGAAATTTTCATTTATGATTGTCTCCAGTAGGGCTTACATTCCTTGGGACAATTTTCTTCCCCTTCAGGAGTCCCTATCATTCATACATTTGAATGCTTCATGGAGTCACATAGTTCTCTAAGCACCTGTTCTGCTTTCTCTCTCTTCTTTTCTGCCTCTTTAACTACCTGGGTTAACTCAAAAACTATATCCTCTAGCTCTGAAGTTCTTTCTTCTCCATGTTCTAACCTATCTTTAATACTTTCTACTGCATCTTTACATTCCCTGATTGTCTCCTTTATTTCCTTAAGCTCTGTCATATCCTTTCTCTATTCTATATATCTCTCATCCAACTTTTGGTTCTGTCTTTCCATTTTCTCATTCCTTTCATTGTCTTTATCATTCATAATTTAAATTCCCTTTCTGTCAAGTCCATTAATTCTTTATAGATGAAATCTTCTGCAGTAGCTGCCTCATGGTCTCTTAGGGAAGTTCCTCTGTTTTTGTTTTTCATGTTGCCCGAATTTTTCTGTTGATTCCTCCTCATATGTTCTGTTTTCTTGTTCACCTCTTTTTTCCTTCTCACTGCCTCCTTTGCTTCAAACCTTGTTTCAGATCTTAGGTCTTGAAGTGTCCTCAGGCTAAGCAAAGCCAAACTCTTCCTCCTAGCCAAATAAAGAAATCCTTGCTCTTTATGACAATATTTTACAATATGTCACCAGCACACCAGGTGGTGCTGTAGTTTTTTTAGGAGACAGCACAGCTAGCTACCTCTATGGTCCTTATTCCAAACTTAGTTGCCTTCGGTGATCACCTGATTGTTTCCTCAGCATTCAGACCCTGCTAGGTTGGGACCTTAAAGCTCACAAGAATTCTTCAGGGGCAGGTCTCACAATGCCCCCTGAATGTTCCCATGGAGTGTGGGAATCACTCAGCTGTCCCAAGAGTGGACAGGCAAGATTGAGGCTTTACCCTCAATTTTGTCCCAAGAGTGGCAGGCAAAATTGAGACAGCAGTGCTTTAGGTCCCTGCTAAGACCTTTTCACAACCTTCCCACAATGGCAGCCTCCTGGCCACCAAGAACTTCTCAGTATGGCTGCCTTGCCAGCCACCAAACCTATGGCAAGCCCACTCCAACCAGGATTCAAATCTGGAATCAGACTTGAACTGTGCGAGTCTGCCCACTCTTTCAAGCCTTCCATTCAATGCACAGCTTCCCCTAACAATTTAAAACTCTGGAAAGGCTTCCTTCCATCCCCGACCTCTGTGGGGAGCCAGCTGATCCCAACCAGATACAATCACTTGCCTAATTCATCAGATTTCCACTACTCCAGATCATACTCTGTATTCAGCTTACCACTTCCTCGCTGTACTCCATGAGCCACAACTCTGGATAAGGTTCCCCAGGTATGGCTGGGTTCTCTTTTTCCCCCAGTTGTTCTAGGAGAGCTCAGCTGACCAGTCCTCTGGTCCACCATCTTGCTCTACCCATCCTGTTGGTTTTTTCTTAAGCTGGTCTTGAACTTGTGAGCTCAAGCAATCAACCAACCTTGGCCTTCAAGAGTGGAAATATATTTTTAAAAAGAAATAGCCCCCATTCCCCACCTTTAAGAACTTTACACTGTTGGGAAAACAAACATGTAAACAAGAGAAAACTAGTTACTTTAATAAAAATATAGAAGGCATAGGATGGAGCTTGGAAAGTTTCCTGCAAGAGTCAAAATCCTCACAATGTTAAAATATAAGTAGTGTTTGTCAGGTGAACTAATAGTGGGTAATGTGTCTAGCCAAGATGACAGTGTATGTGACAGCCATGAGAATGTGCCTTGCAGACCTCCAACCAAGGGGACCTTAATTGACCAAGTGCCCAAGTGCTGTATGTATACCACCCTGCATGTTCCTCTTCCATTGCATTTGTCACTGTGTCTAGAAATCTGTATAACCCCATTTCTCCCCAAACTTCAAGCTCTTAGAAAACAATCTCTATCTTGTTTATTGTGGCAATAAATATTTCTTAGTGAATAAGTAAAAACTTTCTCCAATGATTGCACCACTAAATGCTGGTCACTTTCTAGCCCTCCTCACTTACTTCATTTTGTGTGATAATTTCAAAAGTTTTACCTTCACATGTGGTCACTCCATCTAGCTCATTGAGAGTAAAGCCTCTTTTGTTTCTTTTTGTGCCTTTTCAAGGGCTACCATGTACTGATTTGCATAATTAAAGAGACTTCTAAAGACTATTGAATAAAATGAGTGAACAAAAATGGGTTTATATCAACAAGCAGTTGCTGTTACTGACTAATAAGAGTTTATTCCTTTCTTGGTTACCAGGATGAGGAGGTGACTTTGCCTGCTGTTGAAGGAGTCCATCTGCTCACTGCCTCCCCAGTATGTCTGCTGAAAATAATCAGCCATCAGGATCATCATCTCCTCATTCTCCCACAGCTTCCCCACATTCCACACAGACCTCATCTACAGAGGAAGAGAATACTGAAATAAAACTAGATGAGGAAAGTTTTCAGGATGAATCTCTATTTCCTACAGAGGAAGAGTATCTGGAGGAGGAAGAGCACTTGGGGGAGGAAGAGTTTCAGGAGGAGCAGGAGCATCTGCAGGGGGAAGAGTATCTGAATGGGGAAGAGCATCTGGAGGAGGAAGAGCATCTGGAGGAGGAAGAGTACCTGGAGGAAGAAGAGCATCTGCAGGAGGAAGAGTATCTAAAGGGGGAAGAGTATCTGGAGGAGGAAGAGTATCTGGAAGAGGAAGAGCATCTGGAGGAGGAGTACCTGGAGGAGGAAGAGTATCTGGAGGAGGAAGAGCATCTGGAAGAGGAAGAACATCTGAAGGGGGAAGAGTATCTGAGGGAAAAAATGTATCCATATGAAGAGTTGTATAAAAATTATCTGGAAAAGGGTGAGTATCTAGAGGAGAGCAATTATCTAAAGGAGGAAAAGTGTCTACAAGGGAAAGTACCTGGAAGGAGGTGAGTATCTGGAGGAGAACCTCTCAAAGGATAGTAGCTGTAATTCACCACAATACCCAGGTGGGGCGGGGGACCTGAGATATAGCCAAAGCTCAAATTTTCAGCCTGATTTACAGTGCCGACAGGTAGAACACCCATTACTGTCCAAGTTCTTCTCACAGCTACAATACCATGCCCCAAAGTGCTGTGTCAGCAAAGCTGATGGGGAGACATTGTGAACATAAAGAACCTGTTTAGAATAATAATAATAATAATAATTTGTAGCTGTGCTTTTTCTTATTGCACAAGTAATACATGTTTATTGTGGATATTTTAGAAACTACACATGAGCAAAAAAGAAGAAAGCAAAAATTACTGCCACCCAGAGATAATAATCACTTTCCACACTTTTAGTTACTTCCTTCCCAGGCTTATTTTATATATACATGAGAAACCTCCATAGTTGACCACTTCCCTACATGGAACCCCCTCCTTAAGTTGACCTAATTTTTAATAGACTAGACATGCACCATATGTATGTATCAGTACAATGGGCCTAGTTCCTTATGTTGACCACCTCCATATGTTGACCAGTATGATATAGTCCCTTGGGTGGTCAACTTACAGAGGCTCTATTGTGTACACACACACACACACATTCTCTCTCTCTCTTTTTGTAAAAGAATTGTACTTTATATAGTGTTTGTAACTTGCTTTTAAAAATGCCTTTATTTATATATTTATACAAATATTGTAATTCCATATAAATAGTATGCATTTTTATGAATATCACTTCATAATTCATAAGTTTAATTTACTATGTTAAGTTTTCAACAAATCATTTTAATGTTCCATTGTATTTTAACACCCCATTGTTTTGGATTGATATGCTGTAATATTTTTCTTCTTTTAAATGTTTTTGTGCTAAGACATTTCATTGATCCCTTATTATTGATCATTTATTGCTTCTGATTGTTTGGAATTTTTTTTTAAAGTACTTTGGTGAATATCCACATAGCTAAGTTTTATCAGAGCTCTCTAGTTATTTCCTGGAATACATTCCTATGTTCTGTCGTCAACAGACATAAGTATACTTCTCATGGTACTGTTTGGTCCCCTTAAAGAAATCATCTTGATCTATGGGTATGTGACTTTGAAGAGATTTCTCTTATTCTATGGTTAACATTTTCCCAATACTGTTTCAGCAATTAGCAACACTTCCTCAAGTTGGGCTTTATTACTTGGCAGCAGCTTCCTTATGTGGTTTGCTAGCTATGGCTGATGTGTGTTCAGTCATAGACGCACATGGTATCTGGTCTTGATGTTGTGTCTGTATGGCCATATTCAACTAGTACAGAAATTTTAAAATCTAGTTAATTTCTATCATCTTAATTTTGGCTTAGAAGTAGAGCCAAACTATTTTCCTGTATCTAGTCCTACTACCAACTTCAAGGATCCCAAGCAGCTTGATTTTTTAAAATGCTTAGAAATCTGATCACACACAATCTTCATCCTAAAAGGTGAATGCTCTCAGCAGCTATATAGGTATTATATTTTTACGCCCCTTTCCATCAAATTAGATCTATCATCCTTGCTTCCTACTCCCCTCATGAAAGTTTAGTTGTTGCAATGAAGAGGTAATTCTTCTATGGCTGGGTGACTCTATTCTGTGTGCCTCTACCACTCGCTCTTGGAATCCTACTATCTCTGCTGTTCAAGTACTGAGTGTAATTCTAATACTGAAGAATAGCATTCAGGGTTTTTTCTCTTGCACAGTATGAATCAAGTATTCCTAACATGTGCCCTCTATGCACTGGATCTTTGTAAATATATTACCCACTAGAGTAGGACAAATACAATGCTGTCAAGTGAATGGAACTGTGCATAAAGCAAAAGCTTTGAAAATAAATGCTCTGCTAGTAAAAATGGGAGAGGCACTGAAAAAACTATAGGGGATGCTAAAATGCCTTTCAAGTCACATGGGAAAA